AAAAGGGTTCAAGTTCAAGTTTGTGGCGACATTGCTAGTAGCCTGAGTACTAGTCCGTTCGTGGCGGCGTCACGGTTACAATTAGGTGTCACGCGTCACATCCGTAACTTGTTAGTAACGTTGAGGAGGTTATTTTCGGCACCGGTACTGTAGGTGTCACGTACTTTGAAACGTTGAACAGGCTCACATATATGCCCCGCCAGGCACCTACAGGCGATAGCAGACTACCTCAATGTGATATCTTCCAAAATCTCAACAATGAACGATTTTGATTATCTCTTTCCAAGTAATCAGGCGTAGCCTGATCTTATCTGCCGTGTATGAGTATGTACACTCGAAAAATCGTAACTCAAGAAACAATAATCTCAGAGTAGTTAGCAACGTCGATGGATATATGGTTCTTTGAACACACGCGAGACGGGTGCACCACGTTGTAAACAAAAGATTGGGGGTAAGTTTCCGAGTCTCCTGCAACGGTGATTGTTTGTAACCATGTGAGACATCTTTCCAGGTGGAGGAACTGTTGTTGTTCGATAAACTTGATGCCCAATATTCAATAGCTCTCTATTCCATCGGCATAAATATCCAGGAAGGCTTCTTCTCCTCTATCACAAATGGCTCCCTTCCTCACAACCAAATCTTCAAGTGCAGTCGATGTGCTACCTGATCTCAAAAAACGCATGGACGACCAGCTATGGTCAACGAAGCACAGAGAAGAGATCAAGAACCTCAAACCCTCGCATATCAGAAGATGCTCTGTAGGCTTTTTCTCCGTTTCAATGTTTGTTGTCGCTGAACATGTTCTTTCTCGGACTGTCGCAGCTATGTTTCCATAAAAGATCGATAAAGCAATTGAAAGAAAGAAACGGCGAAGCAATGTGTAGGGACATATGTGACGTTGTGTTCTATTCGTTACTGAACCACCCAATGCATACCTACTTGGGGCCGAGGGCAACAAGAGAATTTCAGAAATCATTCGCGATGTGTGCTAGGGCACAATCGGAGTACAAATTGACGTTCAGAACCGATTACTGGATGTCTAATGACTGGAGAAACACGCGATATATCATCGATGAGCTCAAAGGGGTGAGATTTATCCAACCTTTTCGATCTGTACTATCAGGTTTTGACATAAAAACGAATATTCAATAGATGCTGGAGGCTAGTACCGCCAACATGGACTTCTCGTCCCCTTACCTCCTCTATATCTCCACTATCCGCCGATTGCTGGCACAGTTATGCATCCAAGTTGGGTGCCATTCGATTGTTGAATGGTCGCTTGCCAAACATGGGAAGCTGGTTAATATCAAAGAACTCATTAATCCCGTCAGGCTTTGGCATAAGGTGTACATGGGAGACTATATTGTCAAGGTCAAGGACAGTGCCGATGATGAAACAAGCACGAAACTATATGGAGTAATCCTAAAAATGCCCCGCCAGAAATCAAGGGACATCCGGGAACTTTCAAATATCACAGAAAGGGAACAGGTGAGTCCGAATCTTGCGTTAGAAGACAATAATGTTAATATTTCTATGATGCTTTCTTTTTTCACAGGCCCTCATTTATGAATTGCTTATATGGGCGAAAGTCAGCCATCACAGGATCGCCTCGCTTTGGGGTTACATCGAAGTCAAGGAGTTAGACACAACGTTACTCCCAGGATGGCCGGTGATTTAACATCTGCAATCGCGATGATAAAGCAACAAAACATCAAATTCGACTTTGAGCAAGCCACGGTTCGATGGGTGCGTAGACTACTACGAACCTTCTGAGCCTTATGGTCATCTGATTCTGTAATATTTTAGAGACTTCATATACTGGAAGGAGTGCAGTATCTTCATAGTCAAGGAATTATTCACGGTGACCTGCACGGTGTGAGTTCTCATATTCCCCTGCGCACATGCCGCCATTGCATCATGACTGATTAGTTTTACTATCAAGGGCAACGTGCTTGTAACAGATGACTTACATTCTGTGGTCCTCACCGATTTCGGCTTGTCACTTGTAGTTGGCCAGTTCAATAATAGTCTTTCAGCACGTGGTGGTAGGCAACCTTTCAAGGCTCCAGAGTTGTTAAACCCTATTAGGTTTGGCTTGAGAGAATCGTATCGTGCAACTGAAGAATGTGATATCTACTCATTTGCACTTGTCTGCATAGAGGTACTGTCTGTTTTTCATTGGTTTGATCATCTTTACTGATTCATGATTTACATTAGCTCTACACCCTTGATGATCCTTTTCAGCCGCTGTACCCCAATGGTCAAATGCCCCGAGAGATAGAATTTGCGACGCTTGTTATAGACAAAAAACTCAGACCACCCAAACCACGACATCATGCGTCTCATGCACTAGTAATGGGAAACGGTATCTGGAAACTAGTCACCAAATGTTGGGAGACTAACCCGGATAAACGTCTCACTATCAAAGAACTGTTAGAAAGTCCGGGTATCTGGGAATTTTAAAGACGCAATCACTTTTTCTCGGTCAACGAGAACTTTGACTCACTAAATGCGAATTCGCATTTTCCCCAATTGCTGATACTATTAAGAACGAGACATGTAGTAACAGAACTAGTATGGACGTATATATAGCTACGAGTACTGTATTGCCTACTATGAGCTGAGCGAGTTTTAGGTCTCCCATTGATTTTCAAATCTATATATGGTACAAGGCCAGTGATCGCAACAACTATAGTGTGTAATATTTCCGTATGACCGAGAGGAGAGGATATAGATTTTTACTTTGCTATGCAAGGGTCCAAGACGAATGCTGCAATCCCAGAATGTTACACAGAATGGCACTGTTATAAGGATTAGCAGTGAAAAACGATCCATGTTGTACTAGCAACTCTGAATCCAAACTTTTCTAATTGCATCGTTTGACATGAGATTGATTGTCACATCTATCCACGCAATTAATATATACAATACTTAATTAATCATGAATGAGAATGGAGGATATCAATGTACATTGTACAAAGACCGTGAAGAGAAACTTGAACCGAAAAGCGTCAATCAAATCGTAAAATCATCCGTGAATCATGAATGCGTGAGTCAAAAGAAGATGGAAGCAGGAAGAAGGTGATTAGGGTATATGAATCTTGTATGAAAGCCGTCGACGATCCACTTCATGTCTCGTATATCTAATACGTCGATGCTCCTCTCCTTCCTCCAAATCTGTAGCGATGGGTTCCTGTGCGACGTCTACGTCCACCGAAGCAGTTGCAGCAGATAATATCATAAATGATATCGAAAATGGTAACAATGATCTGTGAAGATGAATAAGAGGTAAGATGGTTGAACGTGAGCTAAAGAAAATGAGAGGTGCTTACTGTGACTATCGTAGAGACGATAATCATCAATACACTGGCAATGGCAGAGATGATTGCCTCGATGGCACCACCAATTGCAGAAACGATAGCACCCTATTTAATTCCAGAAACCATAAGTATATGCCGCATGCAAGTATGTGGTATATGAACTAACCATTTCGTTAATAAAACTAGAGTAAAAACTGGTTTTTAAAAAGTTGGTATGGCTTTGTAGCGAGTGAGAGATATGAGTGAGAGATGTGTGTGTAGGTTGGTGAGAATGGTCGGGGGGGAGGAGATTGTTTATATAGGCCACCTGTGTGCCTTGAGTGGGGCCTAGGAGAGAGTCGACAGCGGTATGCGGGTGACGTTATGGCGTAAGTTTTTCACTGCTGCACCTGAAGAAAATTGAAATGGAGTAAGTATACGTCTTACCGTGACAATGATGTCACTCACCTGCGGAAATACGACCTTGAGCTCATGGCTATTTCTGCTATAATTCGCCTTAGCTCCGGTCCTCGTGCTGTGGTGCGGTTTCTGATTGTGACTGCCAGGGCGAAAGAGTTTATTTATGGACGTCATAGTTAATCGAGTCCTCACGTGCTTTTTCTGTCACATGCACAGTGCACGTGGCAAAGCGTGACTTGGAATGAACGTGACAGTGAAATACGCACGTGCCTCCCGTGTTCTCGACTTGCATTTTGACATCGTTGCTGTTTCGTTGCTGTCTTCTGGTTAGCGAAGGCCTCGGGAGTAACTCTTCTTTCGACTAAACCATCCGAGGCAGCAACGGCTGAAGTGCTTCCAATATAAAGGTCAAGAGCGAAGATGGCCGTCGTCGACTGCTTTCTTCCCACCTTCTCTATACCCCGTACACTGCACCCACAGTTGCTGAAGACGTAGGATCTTATTGAGCTAACATGGTGAGCAGCTTGCTTTCTGGAGCCTTTGTAGTATCATCTGTCTAACAGCATTACAATCGTATAGGGCACTATCATATCTTCTTTAGGCGATGCATTGAACGCGATCGTCATCGCAGTCTGGACAATTGTAAAGACTGTCCTCGGTTTAGTCGTAACAGTAAGTTCTCTATCCATGATAAGATGCACGCTTAGCCAAACTTTCATAGTTGGTCGTTACGTTCTTCGATATTGTCTACGATATCGTCTGTTGCAACTGTTTTGGAAATCGTCCGAGACGAACAGGCACACATACGTACAAGTTTAACAAGAAACCGAATACGGACGTTGAAGCTACTGCAGCTGCTCCTACGACTGAACCAGCTGCTCCAGAAGAGAAACCCGCAGTTGCAGAGCCTGCTACCGCTTAGGCTATCAAACCACCTCATTGACCTTACTTCGGTTTAACCTTTTCGTGTGGATCTCATTCATACCCATTTGGTTGTGCTCTTTTCTGAATCGTTGTGCTCGTTCCTATGTTTTTGTAATGTGATTCTTATGACCTTTCTTGACGACACGCTTCATGACTTCTTGATTATACCATGTTCAACGTAGCATGATCACTTGATTCTTCCTTCCCAATCTCTCATTATCATTGTCGTAACAATGTTTCTTGTGGAAATATTAGAATCACGTCGACCCTCTCTCTGTCTGCCAACTGTGTTGCGGTGGTTGCAATCAAGCAACATGATTCCCGCTATCTGATATTACGCTTTTAATCCTTTTCCACGCCCGTTTAGCTCAGTGGTAGAGCGCACCACTCGTATACGGAGAAAATGGTGAGGTCGGTTGTTCAACCCAGCCAATGGGCAACAAGAAGCAATGACATCTTTTTATGATTCAACTTAACTAAGTATTCAAAGATCTCTGGTCATCTGTTCCCTTAAATGAATAACAGAAAAGTGTTCATCTTGTGTTCCCAAATGCGCATCACAACAGAAAAATGGCCAAAAAGACATGTTTGGATTTTTTTTGAAGCTCAATTCTTTATGTATTTGCATGTGAGTGATCGAAATACCAGTCATATTGATAACACTGCGAGGTCTGGTAAATAGTGAATGAGCTGTTGACTGTGGGATAAAAGAACCGTTCATCAGGAGTGGGCGCCTATTCGAGGGTTGAGTGTCGGTGGATGATATCGCTCTTGAATGCAGCACTCATTGTCTAGGTAACATAAGGGTATGTTTAAAGACCAAGATGTCACGGTGTTTTATAACACATCCTAAGATTAGGTGAAGGTATGAATGCTGCCTGAATGCCAGATATCTGCCTGAATAAACAAAAGCAACTAGTAGATGTTTGTATTGTCACGACAACCTAAGAATAACAGAATGAACTAGTACCGTAATTACGTCCTCGAATCCTATCCCATGATGTATCAAATAGGCATTGGAAACTGGACTAACCCAGGTCGCCTACGAGAAGGTGGTGGAGCACTAGGTAAAAACTCATCGAAAGCATGAGGTCCTAATCTTATGATTTGATTGGAGAGATGATCAGTAAGAAGCAGAAGAGTTTCATCTGAGAAGCTTGTAGAGGAATCCTTGGAATCATGAGCGAGACGGAGTAAGAACGAGGTGAACCTACGAACCAAAAAAAGGTAAGCGAATTAATTGAGTCGTGATTGACAGTAAAAACACGTACAATTCTTTCAAGAATGCAAACGACCATCCCTCGGTCCTATTCGCAACTTCATGTGCAAGTTCGTTAACATCCCTCTTGAATCGAATCATCTTCTTGTGTTTCTTTTGAGTCTTCAAAATCCATTTCGTAGCATACGCCTTTCGTAATTCGAAATCGGGAAGATCGAAGGTATATTTGACGTCGAAACGTGAAGGTCGATTGAGAATAGCATCGTCAATGCGTTCCGGATGATTCGTAGTTGCGATCGTGAGTATACCGTCATTCTGAGCCTGTGGTTGGGATTGTATTGGGAGTTAGTTGATTGTACGTTCTCGCAGGCATGAGAAGGAGAAACATACCAGACCGTCTAATTCGTTCAAAAAGAAGCTACGGACTTCATTTACAACCATTGAATCAAGATCCTCTAATATAAGAATACAAGGAGAGTGATTCCGTGCATGTTGGAAGATGGTTCGGATACCGTGCTCGGGTCCCTAGAGAAATTGATCAGTTATTCAGGATATCCAAGAATCATTGAAAAAAGAAAGAAGACTCACTTGTTGCGTAGTGAAAGATTTCACATACAATGCCGGATAATCCTTCATCTCATTCAACAAAGCTTTGATACTCTCCGTTTTACCATTCCCCGGAGGACCCAAGAGAAGAATTCCTCTTTTCCAAGCAATACCCAACGACCTGTAAACATCTTTATTCTCGAAGAAAGACCTAGTATCCCTTCTAAGTCCATCGATGAACTCATCCTCCAAAACGATATCATCAAAGGAAGAATTTTGGATAGAATGGTAAAGTTCAGATGATTTGAACCATTGTCCTGCTTCGAATACCCAGATTTGGTTCTGAACATTGGCTCCAAAGTTATATATCCTAGTGACGAGTTTCTCGGTTAATGAATCCAACTCGGCTGGGGAGGCAAGTGTGGACGATGGGAGGTCGTAGATGAGAGCATCAAAGAACGGGGTTTGATAATCTCGTAAAGTGAATCGATAATACTTGAATTGAACACCGTCGTATTCAAATTCAGCTTCTCCAGCTAACATTTTCCAAGATATTCCATCCCTCGAGTTAACTCCAAGTGCGTAATATTGTCGTGAATCTGATCCATGTTCTCCTTCGAAACTTGGCAACGTAAATGGTATACCCTTCGATTCTAGATATTCGAATATAGGGAATACAGCGTCTGATTCAGGTAATATTGGAACGATTTGAGAATTTGGATGTTTTTGTCGGAGGAAATGGGTGAATAGGACTTTGGGGTTTTCGGAGGGTTTCGTGAAATGTGTCGTTATGAAGGATGAGACGAATGATGGTGGTAGGGATGAATGACGGGATGCGAAACGTGTTACGGCGAGACCGACGAAGAGACTAGAGAATATTAGAAGCCAGTTCATTCCTGATGACTCTCAAGTATCAAGTCAATGACTGGTTTGTTCGTCAGGCACTTGGTATAACGGTTGATAGGTTGCGAGTTTGAAAGCTTAGTTTGTATGTCACAATGAGGGGAAAGGTTCGTTTCAATCCTTGGGCCTAGGGATGTATGTGTGCACAGTCTATGCTGACGTGGAGAGAACGCCTACTAGTAAGAAACAATCATTAGTGGCAGATCTCCCTGTCCTGTATCGTTGACAACACTCACCTGGGTACAGTAGAAGTTTGATGAGTCGAGGCACTTCTACCCGTAGACAATCCTTGAGAGGTGTACTAGTGGCCAACGTCAACAGACACCCGCTCGACACCCAATGGTGTGGTTCAACGCGAAGGTTGGAATCAACCTACGCGAACTTGGCGCGAACATACTAATTCGTCTAGACATCAATCAAATTCGCGAGAGTTTTCCCGGTTGATACTTACTGCGTAGTCTACACTGCCACCGCGTTCAGACTGAACTTGAAATTGAGTGCGAGTACTGTTTCTGGATATTTGGCACGGTCGAAAGAACGTGCTTGTTCCAACTTGGCACTTGCACCGTCCTGGAAAACACGTCTCCGACGGAAGAAAAGGCTATTTATTCAGTCATAGAATTAGTTCAGTGGTTGGTTTTCTGTTGAGTGTGTAATAAATGGTCAAATTTACATTCAATTGGGGGTCTACCGTGTATGTACTTAGCTGGATTCTGAATCGACGTTAAAGACTAAAAGAAACTAAGAGTGATACGTTGCGCACTGACTTAACCTATAGCGAAGGCCCTTTACTAGTATTCAACTCCCATTTCACGGAGCTCCTTCTTCAAGTCATCGATTCTTCGCTGAATATCCTCCTCCATCGCCTGCTGCTTTTTGATCTCAGCGAGCTCCGCTTTGCAGTCGTCTAAACGAGATGAAAAGACTTCGTTGAGCATCTGTATAAACCTCATCAATTCGTGTTGAAGAAGCGGATGTATAATAGAAGATCGCTCACAACAGCCTGGAAGTGTGTCATTGAGAAACCAAGGACTTCGTATATCGAAGCCGTGGTTTGTAATCGACTCTGAAAAAGCTGAGATATAATGGCTGTTAGTAGCTGCCGTACATGCAACAAAGTGCAATACGATACCTTCAGATTCCCTGTTGAATTCGCCCAGCTGAGTTTCTCCTCGATTTGAAGAATATCACGAGCAATCTGAGAAGAATGTTGATATAACGTCAGCTCTGAACTGTTGTGGTTCAGTGAAACTAAGTACTTACCGCTGCCCATATATTCGCAAAGGACCCCAATTTAGAGCAGACATCAGAGAAGTTCGAGTCGACTGAAGTCAAGGTTGCATCAAGCTGTTGTACCCCCTTCAAGAGGTTTGCCTTGTCATCACGTTCGCGCCGCTTTATGTCACGAAGGTTTATTTTTTCTGTCCATGAATAAAGTCAGGAATTTCGTCAATTACGAAGAGGTGAAGATATGATATGACCAAACCCACCAGAGCGGTTCTGAATGGCTTGATCTCGTTCAGAGTCTCCCTGTAGTTAGTCAATCACTCAGAACGCGCGACCAGCTCGTTGAAATATACATACGTTCATAATAGGTCGGAACAGCCACGAAAAGAAACCGCAAACTGCACCCCATAACCCGTTCCTACGTTGACCTAATTCGTCGATCTATACAGAGATAAAGTTATATTAAACGGATTTCAGCGATTGTGCAAAACTCGTTACCTTACGATCCAGCCTGATATATTCATGTCAGCAACATAGATATGATGAAAAATTGCTCAAGACGCACTCAGAAATGTTCCGGTCGATGTCTTGGATTTGGCTGTCGAGAGACCTTATCTCATTGGCAATATTGTTCTGGTCATATTTCTCAATGGACCTTTTCCATTCAATCTTGAATGATATAATACTTTCTTGAAGTTCAATGAATCCGTCAGATAATCCTTTGGAAGCTTGTTCGTCTTGTTCCAATTTCTAGCAAAACACAGTTGGAGTCCACCCACTGACTGAACGAAAACGTCAACCACAAACCTGGAAATAATTACAGATGTAATTTCGCTTTTCTTCTAAAGAAACCTCACCGCTTGACAGGAAAGGGATGGATATATCTGCAAAGTCTTGCGAGAAAATTGTCTTCAGCCCACCTTATTATCCATTGTCAAAAGGAGCACTTACCAACACAGGCTGCATGTACCTTCCCGGCTACTTCATGAGAAGCCCATAATAGATCCACGTATTGCTAGAACGGCTAGGATGAGCACAGTGGACTGCTTCAAACAAACGATATACAACCTACCCTGCGATGATCTTTCCACGTCTTTTTCAAACGTATCAAATCGGAACCTAGCCCAGTACTTTGAGCGACATTGATGGTATCGAATACGGCTTCGATACGTTGAAACGATGCGCTGACTGAACGAGCAGAATGTATAAGTTCGCCAATACCATCGGAAAGGTTTTTCTTGACTTCCGGACTTGATAAATGTTGGGTCAAAAGTTGATAGGTCTGTTCGTCTTCAGTCATAATATCGCTCGAGGATTTGAGTAAGATGAGAGAAGAATCTGCGTCCTGGACGCGAAAGACTTCAGAGTTCAAGTTGATAAAAAGAACTACACGTAGGTGAACACGTTCTATTGGACATCGCTACTTCATATCATAAGGTTCTTGCCCTAAATCATGTTACGCGTGAAGTTGAGAACCAACTCACCATGCATTCTATCTGTCAGCATCAGACAGATGAAGGTGAGAATGAATAGAATGTGCTAAA